CCAACAAAGTCCGGAATCTCAACCTGAAAAGATGATTCCCAGCGGCTATCGGACTGCCGATCAACATGGCCAAGGAAACGATTCGCCGGAAGATCTCTGCCAACATCAAACTCGTCGTCCCAAAACAATCCAGCGGCAGCCCGGTCTTCAGCGAAATTGGCAGCTCCACGCCGACCAGCCCGTTGCCATCCGCGATTGTCTTCACTGCCGACAACTACTCGCTGGAACTCGAGGTCGGCAAAACGCGGAAACTCGCGACCTGGGGCTTCGCGCTTGTGGCCCGCTCGCCGATGGACAGGATTGCCGTGGCTAAAACCTAGATATGTTAAACGGGCTAGCCCTTGCGGTTTCGGGTAAGCCTTGACGGGCTTCGGGCTAAGGCGCGGATTTAAACGGGCTACCAATAAATGGACCTAACCCTAAACCTAGCAGGCTTGGGATAAACGGGTTATAATAATAATAATAATAATAATAATAATAATAATAATAATAATAAGTTACAACGCCTAGTTAACGGTTTTTTCAACGGCTTTATAGTATTTATCACTCTATACATACAACTGCAATTCTTATATGAACACACATTACAAACTCTTAAATAACATAGTGTTTCTCAATAGAAAAAAAATGTTCGAACTGTTATTTATAACTACCATTTGATTAGCTATTTGGTACGCTTCGAAAATTTTCACAATATAGTATACCGTTAAATTCATATTCTTTGACTATATTCTATGTGTTAGGACTTTTTCTCATTTGTTTTTTTATTAACCGTTCTGATTGGCTTAAATATTTTGGTGTGAAATAGAATAAAATTTGTTAATAATTATCTTCCAAAATAATAGTAGCCCGTTATATTTCATAATTACGTGTGAAAAAGAATAGCAAAATTGTTTAATACAAGGAATCATGAGATATATTCTTTACCTTTCTAAAAACATAGACACCACCCAACCCAAATTAAACGGGCTAGCCCTAGCGGGCTTCTGGCTAAACTGTCTTGGCCTAAAAAGCTCAGATTTTAACGGTTTGTCAATAAAAGGCCCTAACCCTTTTTTTTCGGGCTAAACGAGTCGTCCCGTCGGGCCAAGGACCATTTAACATCTCTACTGAAACTCGTCTGGTGCCCGATGGTTAACAGCAACATCGGGGTCGCGAAACCCGTCCTCCCGTGGTCGCCGGTTATTAGCATCTGGGTCGCGGGCCAAGCCCTCTTCAAATGGGTTGATGTCC